TGAACCAGCCCTCAGACAGTGCAATGTGTTTGGCAAGAGTCTGGGTCACTCCTTGCTCCCTTTCCTGGAAAGTCTCTGGCAGGCTGTCTTGTGTAGGCAGGAAATTTCTCTTTTTTTTTCACAAACATTGTAATTTTATTTCATCATAATGTTCTCAGGAGTGAAATTGCTCCTTTAACACGAAGAGCTTCCTAGGAAATATGACACAGGCGAATCTCAGCCCTGCTCATCGGTTTCGGAGGGGTTTTTTGTGTGGCCGATATTTAAAAATCTGCAGCCAAAGGCTGCAAACCTGCAGAGGGAGATGGAACAGCCCTCAGCCAGGGCAATGTGTGTGTCTGGGGAGAGTCTGGGTCGCTCCTGGCTGCTGGGAGAGCCCTGGAAAGGCTCTGGCAGGGCGGACTGGCCAGGAGCCACATTCCTGCAGCCCCACAGGGACACACGGGGCGCATCCTCAGCTTTCCCCATCCTTCAGAGGGGCAGCTTTTGTCCTTGGTGCACCAGGGTGGGTTTTTGTTCTCTGTGAGGACCTCCAGGCCATGTGCTGTGCGTTGGCAGGACATCAATGGAAACCTCTGCAGTCAGCTGAAAGCAGATTTCTAACAGATGGCTCTGGAAACTCCACAAGGAAGAGAAATCTTTACGAAAGGTACTGTGGTGGTTTCAGCAGCATTATCTGCCCCATCTGCAGGGCGTGGGGCTGGCACAAAGCTTTCTGACCCTCTCAGAGGGTTCCCACCGGTCCTTGGGGCTGGCAGGGGGCAAGAACAGACCTGCCCCAGCCTCCAGCACTGGGAACCGTGGGCACGGCAGCACCAAATCCAGGCTGCTCTCACAGCTTGGCTGCAGCCTGGCACTGCTGCTGAGGGGGGCAGGAAAGGCAAAGGTTCTGTGATTTTCTTGTCTTTTTTCCTTTTTTTTTTTTTCCTTTTTCTCTTTTCCTTTTCCCCTTTTCCTTTTCCCCTTTTCCCCTTTTCCCCCTTTTCCTTTTCCCCCTTTTCCTTTTCCCCCTTTTCCTTTCCTTTTTCCTTTTTCCTTTCCNAGCTCCCCGGGCTGGAGCCGATACCGGGCAGCTCTCCGGGGCTGGAGCCGATACCGGGCAGCTCCCCGGGCTGGAGCTGGGATTTATCGATGACCGGGAGCGTTCCCGGGAGCAGGAGAGCGAGCGGACACAGCCCGGCAGCCGCAGCATCTCCAGCGCTCCTGCCACCCCTTCCGTCCATCCCCGAGTTTCTCGCTGGGTTTGCTGCTGGAGATTTCTGTGCTGTCCTTGCCCAGATCTGCAGGGACAGCCCGTGGTCCCTCAGAAACCTTTCCCAGAAAGGGGAGAAACCCGTCACAGCTTTGCTTCTGTCTCTCTCTGTCCACGCGTGTCTGTGCGCCCTCTCTGCCTCTTGTTCTCTGCTGCACTTGCAGCAATTGAGAAAGCCGAGATGAGGAATGAATTAATCACTTCTCGGAGTTTCCCTCTGTGCTGGGC